GTGGCCCAGGCTGGCCTGGAACTCATAGAGATCCATGTGCCTCTGCAACCCAAGTGCTTGGATTAAAGGTATGTGCTGCCATGCCCATCTCTGACCTTTGATTTCAATGGGTGGGGGACCCCAAGGTCCACTGAAGAGGTTTTATATTAGCTATTGGTTTGAGGTAAATATTTTATGTGTGTTCTGGATAGTTTTATGTCAAGATGACACAAGCTAATATCATCTGAGAAGAGGGAACCTCGATTAAGAAAATATAAGATGAAGCTGTAGACATGCCTGTAGGATATTTTCTTAATGATTGATAGGGGTGGGCAGCTCATTGTGGGTTTCATAGAACCACTGGTGGTCCTGGGTTCTATGAAAACAGACAAACATCCAGAGCTGGGCAGTAAACAGGACCCCTCGAAGGCTTCTGCATCAGCTCCTGCCTCAAGGTTCCTGTCCTATTTGAGCTCCTGCCCTGACTCCCTTCAATGGAGGACCACAGTGTGGAAGTGTAAGCTAAATAAACCCTTGCCTCCCCAACTTGCGTTTGATTATGATGTTCCATCATAGCAATAATGATCTTGACTAAGAAAGTATGCTAAGGGAATATTACTATAATTCTACTTCCTAACACTTCTTTTTTTCTCCCTCATCCCCAGTATTTAACTCAGGGCCTCGGACACAACAGACAAGCACTCTACCACTGATCTATGTCCCCAGCCCCGCCAATACTAAACAAGGTCTCACTAAGTTACTTAGTTACTTAACTCTGGATCCCAGGCTGACTCTGAACCCATGACCACCTTGAGAATGAGGAGGCATGCCACCACCAGGCCTGACTCTCTAAAGTCTTTTTCTTGAAGAGGTTAATGGATTTATCTTTGACAGGCTGGCTGCTCTGGTCCTATTACTTACATTCCAAGAACCAGCTTTATTTAGTCATGGCTTATAACTGTGTTTGATTTGAATCTAATTTAGACATATCTGATTATCTATCAGACGATGAGGCTATAATTTGTGCCACTATTCTGATGCATTGCTGTTCTAGCTTTGAAATATGAACTGAAAGACTCTGTGTCATTCAGCAGCCTAAATGGGGCTTTATTCCTTAGCTTCACTTTTAGCTACTGCAGGCATTCCCTGTCCACCGGTCCTGCCATCCCTGTCCACTGGTCATTCTTCCACCCAATACCATTGATAACTTCCTGTTCAACTATTCATCCTTGAGCACCCAGCTCAGCCAGTGCCAAAATATTAGCACAGACTCTCATTTGAGAATCAACTATACAATACTTTATTTCTCTTAACTGCCCCACCCACCCACACACACCAGTCTCTGCAGTCTCTGAGCTTCTTGAAGCTGAGACACTCATGCATGTATTTAGGGTTTTTTAAATTTTTTTAATCTCCAGAGTTTATCACAGGAGCCAGCATACAGCTTATGCTTCGTGATTCTTTCTAATATGAATAAATCCCTGACACATTGTGGTAGTGAAAAATTTCAAAGACTTATGTATACACTTCTTTGTTTTCTCTGATAGTGAAAGAGGGGTAGTAACCACTCTGCATTCTGCATGCTTTCAGAGTTACCGAGCTAAGGCAATGGGTGTGAAAGAATAAAACGTAAAGCGAAAGAGTTAAGTACAAATGCATACCACATCTACAGAGCTAGTTACAGGACAACCTCCAAAACAATACAGAGAAAAACCAAAAAAAAAAAAAAGCAAATGCACACCACAGCTTACATCCTTTGATAATAATGAAAGGCAATGCGCATTGAACAGCCCTCGCAGCAGGTGTGGAATTATCAAATTTGTTTCTCATAGCTGCCATCAGGTTTACATGTGGATTCTAGAGAGATTAAGTGACTTGTCTGAGGTTGAACAATTTGGCAGGCTGAAGAGCCAAATCTAAAGCCATGTTTTCTGGATTCAGAGCTTATCATCTAAACACAACTCTCTTTGACTTACCAGTAGCAATAATGCTCCCCCCTCCATATATGAAAAGAGACAGATGACAATTAGAGGGTGACAACTTGCTCAGATACATTTTTTCCTTAATAAGGTTTTGCACGGTAGGAAGATAGCTGGTGTCTAACTACCTCTGTGTGAACACAGACTAACCACCGAATCTCACTTTATTTAGTTCATGCTATGATGTGCTCTATCCTGAAGGGATAATAAGTAAAGCTGTGGGACACTTTTTCATTTTTTCCACAAAGGTCCAAAAGAGTACAAGACAGATAAGAGGAAACCTCTTTCTGTCACTAACTTCTTAGACCACAATCTTTGGGTTGTGACCCCTTTGGAGGTTGCATATCAGATATCCTGCATATCATATATTTATTCTATGACTCATAACAGTAGTAAATTTACAATTATGAAGTAGCAATGAAAATAATGTTATGGTAGGAGGTCATCACAACATGAGGGACTGTATTAAAGGCTTACAGCATTAAGAAGATTGAGAGCAACTGGTCTAGACTCTTGAGCTCAAGGCCTTCAGTTCTTAGTTATGATCCCATTATCTGAGATGAGGGAGACGTTGACTTCTCCACCACTCATCCCAAAGGCTAGGAATAGTAGAGCTGTTACAAGCACAGTTCAGAGAGAGATGGTTTGACATTTTACTGAGACAACATGGCAGCTTCTACCCCTAGTCACCTGGCCAGTTCCCTGCTCCAGGTAGTGACCCCAGACTGAATAACAGAAGTGGCAAGAGGTTGTTCAGAAGATTAAAGACTCAAGTCACCAGAGGCTGCCATCTCACAAGACCATTAAGACATTTTCCGCTTGACAGTCATTAATATTCTTCAGCAGAGAGTGAGCAGGAAGTCTGCTAAAAAATCCTCTTCAGATCTCTGTACCTTGGAAGATAAAGACAGTGTGAAGGTTTTGTTTGGGAATTAAATATTTATTGGACTGAGTTAGAGCTGTCACTATTCTTGGAAATAAAACTGGATCTCCCCCTTTGTTTTAAAATAAATACAACCAATTTCACTTAAGAATCCATTTTTGGACCATGTCAGAGTAATGTGTGCTGTGATTTTTCTAATTCAGCTTGGAACTGAATACCGCAGGACTCTAAGCATTTTCTACAAGGACACAGTGGCTTGACACTGTAGGAAGAGGCTGCCCAGGACAGAGGACAGAGCTTGGCACTCTGGCTAGGCTCTCTGCCATCAACACAGAGCTGTTCTACAACATGAGGTTTGGTTTTGGAGCCTGTGGGATGGGGCCACAGACTCCCAGGCTTTGTTCAGGACTTGTAACTGACAGGAAGAAAACAAGAGGACTAGACAAAGCAGGGGCAAACAGTGGCGACGGCGACTCACACTTTAGAACAAACACGGAGAACTGGTCACTGAATGGTTGGGAGCTGTTCACATCTGTTCCCATCCCCCTTGCCCACCCCATCTTTCAGGCTTCGTTGCTCACATTTCCCTTGAATTTAAACATCTTTTAAAGGCTTTCAAAGCTTCGAAGGTTGATTTCAATGAAAGCTGTTTTTATTCTATGCGTTTTTCCGACTGTCACTCTTGGGTATAACAAAAAACATTCACTGTCAAAACAACAAGGGCTTGCTCTCAAGCCTAGAATGAAAGCAGGTATGCCTGCCTGATTTATTTTGGCATATGCCTCACAGTTAAATAGGGCACGTTTTAATTTGTCACTTCTTAAAGATTCACTTAGGCTTTCAAAGTAAATGCCCAGGGCTTGGTTTCAGCTCAATGTGAACTAGTTGGGTAGAAAGGTTGATCCCAACCCTCTGCACATCCGCCTCTTCTAAGGTGCTAATTAAAGAAGCAAGTGATTGTTTAACAACTTCAGATAGACACAATCAATGGTCTTTTGTTTTTACTTTAACCTGTAGAAGTTTAGAAACCAAAATTGCTACCAAAGCTCAACCACAGGTTTGTGGTGAGACACAGAAGCCAGTGTTTTACAACAGCCCCTGGTAGGTTAGTAATACAGAGACTCTCCAACTAGTTTTAAAATAGAAATCAGCTTTAAGTAGAGAGACTAAAAATTCAAACTCTCCAGGCTGTTATGTGATGATGGGGACCCAGTCTGGATTGTTTAGAGCAGGGACAGAGGCAACACACACACACACACACACACACACACACACACACACACACACACACACCATTAGGGCACACCAGCTACGTGGAAGTGTGTATGAGCGTTAGCACCAAGGGATCAAGCTACAAAGTCTTTGCATTCCTCCACTCAGATTTAGCATTTCTTCCCATATGGGAGCTGTTTCTCTGTCTGCTCTGAATTTACTTTGCTGAAATCAAAGCCATTTCTCTCCTGTTCTCCAAATTGGTGATAACATCTGTTTAGTCCCTTCAGTGTAACAAGGCCAGATTGAAGGTTTGTGTTTATGCAATCATTAACACAACCACTGTTATACAGAAGTGGGGTTTGACATCTCAGTCACCTAATTGAAATCTGGTTCATTATTGGATGTGTAAACTGATTCAGTTACAAAAAGACACACACACACCCCATATTAATATGCAGATGCATTTTTGGTTCTTCAATATACATGAATTTTCCCTTTCCCCAGGCTCAGAGTTTCTCAAAACGCACACATGTGGAATACATGGAAAACACTAAGAGCTTCTTTCTTGAAGACCCTTAGAGCAAACAACTTTTGACGAAGGCGGGAAATCCCACGACAGCCATCACAAACCAGAGTTTTCCGGTCCACACTTAAGTAGATGTCCCTACCTTTGCTCTGCATTACCTGTGGTCCAGATACCACATTTGTCTCTTTCTAGCTTATTTTCTAAACTATGTGAGTTTCTACGGATACAAATAAGTCAGTGCTTCACCCTGAGGCTCGGCCATGGGCCATCAGTGATGCTTGCTCTTTGTAGCTCAGAGCCAGGGAAACTGAGGCTGTTTTCTGATGAGCTGGAAACTTAATGCCAGAAAAACCAGTTCTTCCTCTAGTCATTGGCCTGACTGGCTGCTGGAAACTTGTGAAATAAAACCAGGCTAAGCTGTTGTTCTCAAACATGTTTATTTGTAACCGTTTTACATGGCGTGTTACAGAAATTAATGGAAAATTTCTAAAAATTTTGCTGTTCTGTTGAATGCATTGTACATAAAGTTAAAAATAATGTGTCCATATATGTTAACAAACTGTCATCTGAGGTAAAGTTAAAGTAGGTCTAGAAACGTACTGCAACAGTCATTTTCTCTTTCTCATCTTTATTAAAAAAATATGTGTCAGAACGCAGAAATTGAAAGGAACCAAACCCACGGAGTAAACATTTTCTTAAAAGAAGGTGCCCGGTACATTACATGATGGGGTTGCTGTAGACGCTGGGATGGATATGAGTTAGCAAAAAAGTCTTGTGGCATGTAAAGATCGAAAAGCTATGGGGAATGGGGACAGAATGACAGGTGGCATTTCCCTGGTTTCAAAATTTAAAGTGACAAATTTAGTGCTAATAGAGGATGAGGAAGTGAGTTGTACTCATGAATCTTTCTATCGATCTAACCAGAACTGTGCAGACTCCCCATGCTCTTTTGGTATTGGTACCTCAGCTCCTGTTTGGACATATCACTGTATTCCTGGGAGAGGGGTACCGTGGTTCTGAACTCACCAAACGGTGCTTGGGGGAAAAAAATCAGTATTCTGCAATGAAGATAAAGGTGGCAGTCTAAAATCTCGACTTTATCCTCCTCATTTTCATGTATCAGCTGGGAATCTTCCTCAAGTTCAGATTCAGTTACATTTCCAACCTGCTCAATGAAGGATGGCCATTGGCTGGGCTGTCACCACCTGCTATGCAACTGACTGCAGATGGTATACCTAAAACAGCAATGCCAGTCAGAGTGCGCTTCCTGTCACAGTTACCCAAAGGATGGGGATGAGGGTGTGACACTTATGGACAAACTCTGACAGCCATAGGGAGGGACACGACAGCACCACTCATAGAGACTTGGCATCACACCCATAGCCACTGATGCTGTTTCCCGTGGCAACCACCTAACTTGCTAACACTTCAGAGAAGCAGGTCTGCTTTCAGGACAGTTCTCGGACATTACAACTTCCCATTTCTCCTTTGCACAAGAGGGTCACCTCATCATAGCAAGGGTACACCTTTTGGGAGGAATCTTGTACCAACAGATAGCAGCTTCAGAGGGCAGTGAATAACCCTTCTGGTTTCTCTAGTTCCTGGAACCTTCTACAGTAGAGTAGCATTTACACATATTTCTTAATGGACATGTGGTTCATTGATCTATTTGGGAAAATTATATTCCAGTGAAAATAACAATTAGGTTGACATTGTATCCTGTCTTTTTTTGTCTGAAGAGTCACTTTAAAATCATCTTCAGCCAGGTGTGGTGGAGCATGCCTTTAATCCCAGTACTCGGGAGGCAGAGGCAGGTGGATCTCTGTGAGTTTGAGGCCAGCTTGGTCTACAGAGTGAGTGCCAGGACAGGCTCCAAAGCAATACAGAGAAACCCTGTCTCAAAAACCAAACCAAAACAAAAAATCATCTTCAAAACTATTTTAGTTCCTATTAATATGAAGAAGCCAACACATACAGGTCAATTTCAATCACTCATATCAAGGTAAATTTGACTTTTCAAATTTTAAAACTTAATACAGTAATTACTCCCAGATCCAATCACACAGCTCTTGAGGGTTTCTTTCTTTATGTTAAGCCACTAAATCCAACATGTAACTGCATAGGAACATCAGGAAAACACATTTGACCTGTATAACAATTCTCTATAGGGTAAAAATATATAGATTCTTTATGAAAGTTGTGTGCTAAACATATGAACTAAACACTAGACTTTTGTCCCACATGTGTAAAATCCTTCCGTTTCACGTACAATTTGTCCAGTGGCTGATGGGAGAGGAAATGGGAATGGAGAGGTGAGCGATTTCCCAAATCTGAAAATCAAACCTTCCAATGTGAGCCTCCTCTTTTTCTCCCCTTGGGCTTAAGGTGAGAAAACTCCAGAAAAGCTGGCTGTGAAGCCCCGCCCCTGCCTGTTCACTAGCTGCTGATTGGCCCAAGACTTCCTGCCTGTCTCTGAATGGTCGCTTTCTACCAGTCATCCTAGAAAAACTCCTGGAGAGTGAGCCCCATCCATCATGTTCCTTGCACCTTACACTCCATCTGCTATCTTCTCTACAGTGTAATGGCATTATTAAAAGCATCTTCATTGACATATTTACATCATTAGAACTCCTTAAAGCCATTTCCCTTAAATAGTTAAAGAGTTTAATGGTAAGGTTTTCCTTTTCAAGTTAGAAAATAAAAAAATCCCATTTGAATATTCTGATGTACAAAAAGAGATAGAGATGAACCATTTGACCACAGAGTCAGTTTGTTACATTGAATATTCATGTCACCATTAGAAAGTTGGTTTCTAAGATTCAAAACCACATTACCAGAATTGTACCAGAACTATTTGGCAAATGACTTTTCTTTGAAAATGGCGCATGGAGAAGACACTTGTCTGCATAGTATCACAGCAGCGAAGTATCAGAAAAATAAAGACATCATTTTATTGTACTCAAGACTTCAGAGCTTCTTAGGGAACTGGATGCATTTTTCCATCTTTCTCATCAATGGGGTTTGATGTCCTTTGCTACCCCCAGGATGAAGGTTCCATCCAAAAGCTGTCTTTCTTCACCAGGATGCAGGATAACTAAAGGGTTGTTTTGGCAATATCCTTGATTATAATGAATAACCAACCACTTGTTTGCCTTGTGATTTCAAGTTAATTCACATCATAAGAGACTTTCCCTCCCCCATTTAGACTTCTTCACCCATTTCTAAAAAAAAGTCAAAAGCAATACAAAAATTTGTACACTCATTAATTCTCAAACATGACAAATAAAGGACAGGGGAAACAGGATGGCAGACCAGGCCCTGTGGAGAGATGCCACGCACATCGCCACAGCCAGAAGGCATATGGAAGATGACACTGTGGTCACAAAGGATCCCTTGCTTTGGCCTAAAATGAGTTAGTGCCAACCTTGTTGCAATTCTCTGATGCCTGCCACTCCAAATCTTCGGTCTCTACAGTGGTCAACAGGTAGCAAAATAAAAGCACAATAATGGTTTCATATCCGGGGGCATCTTAGACCCAGCTGAGAGAGCTCAAGGTATTTGTTGGTTAAGCATCAGCTTGACTGGTGATCAATGTTGGGTTCTGTTTTTTTTTTATTTTAAAAATACTTTTGGGGGGATGTTGTGTTTTGCTTTGTTTTTTTTGTGCTGCCATAGGTATCTGCTATTGGTTGCCAAAAAACCACTCTGTTCCCTCTTCAGTTTCACTGGGCGATTGTGAGTTTCTCTGTGGGATGAGGTGAGGTGAGAATACAAGAGAGCCTGTTGCACTGCTGATTCCCATGCCAGTCTTGAAGCACCCACCATGAGCTCGCATTGATGCTATTTCTTAGGTCTGTTGATCTGCGCATAGAGAGGCTCAGGCTCCTGTGGATAGAGGCACAACAGTCAGGCCTGCCTTGCTAAGCCTGGGTTGGCGAGATGGCTTTAGAAAGGAGTGCTTGGGAATAAAAACAGAAAGGTGACACTGATGATGAATGACCTTAGGTATTTTGGCATCGTTTCATCATGGTGCTTTTCATTTTGACAACAATTTTGGCACCCCCAATAACTCATCCAGATTTGTGTGTGTGTGTGTGTGTGTGTGTGTGTGTGTGTGTGTGTGTGTGTGGTGTTGCTGTTTTTGTATATGTACGCATGTGTCCGATGTATGTGTGCATGTAGTGGAGGCCCAGAGTCAACCTTGAGTTTCATTCTGTAGGCACTACCCACCTTGCTTTGGAGATAGAGTTTTTCACTGGCCTGGAACTCACCCAGTAGACCAGATTGGCTGGCCAGACAGCCTCAGCCCTACCTGTCTCCACCTCCCCGCTCTAGGATTACAAGTGTGTGCCACCATATTTGGGTTTTTGTATGGGTGCTGGAGATAGAACTTATGCTTGTGTAGCACACTTTAAAGAATGAGCAATCTCCTCCTCAGCCCCAAGAGGCAGGTCTATCCTTGGTTTGGAGGCTGACTGCCCATTAGGGAAATAGCATGACATAGTAGAGTGAGCTCACTAAGTTCTGTATTGTGGGAAAGACACTTAGACTTTTTGAGATTCAGTTTCTCCAACCACACCATGGGAATAGCATTGTTTAATTCTACAAAGGTCTTGAGAGAAGTGGAGACAAGTTACAGAACATACCTAGCACAATACTGCAGGAAAGGGAATGAGAGGAAATTGTAGAGAGGAGACAAGACAGAAGTCCTCCTATCAGCAGAGCATTGTTTGGGAAGCACCTTCAGGTCTTACCTTCATCTACCTAACATTCAAGTGAGCAGAATCCTTCCATTTCCAGTTTGGAAACAAAAAGCAAAAACAAGTGCCCAAGCAGAGAATAAGAGACTGTGGAATGTTCAGCTCTAAATGGGACACCTATACCACAGCCCCTCCTTACAAAGCTCAGGGATCATCTCAGAAGAGGGGACAGAAGGATCTAAGAGCCAGAGGCGGCGGGTGACCACAAATGAAGCAGTATTTTCAGGACAAAACAGGCAGTTGCACATATGAACTCACACTGGCTATGGCAGCATACACAAGACTTGCGCAAGCTCAAGCCAGACAAGATACCAGTATGGAGCGGGGAGGTGGGCATGAAGTCTCACCCGCTAGCTGAGGAGCTATTAGCAAGAGATGGCTGCTGGGAGAGAAAAAGTCAGTGTTCAAGGATGCAGACCCCAAGAGGCTACCCAAGCTCCAGTAGATGGTCCTACATCCAGGCACATAATGGCATTGCTGAGTGAACTCAGTGGTTTAAAAAAAAAAACACCACATGGCATTGGGAAGAAATAACGTTGGGGCAGATGGGAGAGGAATTGGGAGAGGAACAAATGGGGGACGGTTGAACTTGATCAAAACATCAGATTTATGTGCAAATTTCTCAAGGATAAGAATAAAAATACTCAAAGAATTAAGTTGAGAGAGGTTGAACAGTGCCAATGTCACTGCACTGTCTCTTTCATAAGATGTATCACACTGCTCCTTGTTTCACACTGGGAATGGCCTAGAAGATGAACAATGTCTGAGCCATCATTTTATAAATGAGGGATCTGCAGAGCAGTCGTGTCACATGGGTACTGAGTAATCATGCCAGCGTCAATCCAGAACTTCCCTTCTGAGCCGTGCACTCTTCTCCAGGACTGGCTAGAGGTATACTCTCTTGGAGGAAGGAACTTCTGTCTTCCTAGTCACCCTGCTCTGTAATATAGCAAAATGGTTTGTGCCCCACACCTCAATGCTCCACCCATGGAATCTACCCTGCTGATGGAAATGGAGAGCTATGTAAATGCATTCTGTTGAAATGCCTGACTACAGGAAGGGCCCCATCTTCCTGCTGTCCCTATTGACATTTACAGGTAGAAATGTGACACAGTAGGTCCTCACTGTGGGCAGGGGGTGGGGGAAGGTCTGGTGAATTAGTGTATGACTGTGACACGATTTCTAATATCGTTGATATTTTGATTTCCTTGTCTTCAACACACTTCAATTTGGCTTTGTTTTTCCAAAGGTTGAATTTATCAAAATCTGTAGCAGGGTGATCTCTTAAGTCCTAATCCATTTCCTTCCAATACCTGAACTACTTCCAATATCTGCTATTAGACTAGATAGAAACTTTCTGTACCCCCCCCTCTGTGTATGTGTGTGTGCATGTGCACGTGAGCATGCATTCGTGGGTGAATGCATGTATGTGCATGTACACATGTGTATGTATGTTTTCTAGGGATGGGGTGCACTGAGTAAACAAGAATGGGATAGAAATTTCGCTAGAGACAATCAATAAGGAAGAAACAGCTTCTATCACCCATTCACCTCAATGCTTCCTGTGCGGACTTCCTCACTCACCGCATTTCTCTTTCTGGGTTCCACGAGAAGTGAAGCTGCCTTGATCTTACCCTACAATTTGCTCTATTCCAATTTTGGAAACTAATTTATCCAACTGAGAATGACACCTAAAACCAGAAGACGACAGCAGGCTCAGGCAGGGTAATTAATGCCGCACTGCATTAACTTTCTGCAGCAGAGATAAATATGCACACAGCTCCTGCTTGCCGGAATCTAGCTTCAAATACCCATCACAACAGTGGTAACAACTGCAGTCAGCTCTCAATTATCCCCACTAATGAAGGGGAGCAGTGGTGTGGAAAACCCCAAGCAGCAGATAATCCCAAAGTCTGACACTGTGATGCATTATTCGTTTTGGCAATGGCTTTAGTTTCCTTGTTACAGAACCATCAACTGTAAGAGCTGGAGGGGAGTTAAATCATTTGATCCAGAAATTTCTAGCCTGACTCAGGCAAGGTCATGAAGAACCAATGCTATTTTCGGTATTCCAGAAAGTCTTTCTAAAGAAGTTGCCATGATTTAGGGATTCTGTCTTCTTGCTTAGCTGAGAAGGAAGCTTGCCTGAAAAGGGTGAGCTGTTGGGAGATGTTATTTGAGGCCTGGTTTTTCAAGTTAAGTGAACTTGATCAAACTAAAGGGTCTTAAGATATTAGCTGCTTGAAACTGTTGTGACTGTTTTGTAGAGGAGACAAACAAAGGTCAGAGGTCAAGTCATCTTCCTCCTATGGTGCATTCACTAAGTTAGGCTGTTGCTGAAAGCCAGATACCTAGTCTTGTTAGAGTACTTGCTGCTCAGTCACTCAGTCTGCACTGAGTCTCAGTGTAGATTTCCATCCCAGTATAGAATGTTAGCAAGTACTTTTCTTTTTTGTCAAATTTTTGAAGCAGGAATTAAAAAATATTAAATTAATGGTGTCCCTAGTCTTTAAAGCTATTTCAGTAGCAGTAGATGAGAGGCATTGTGATTGATCCTACTGAGTCGTTCTAGAAACACTGGGTGTGATCTCCATCACAGGCAAGCAAACGTCAGCCTACTATTGTGGAAGCTGCTTGCTTTTGTTCATGGAGTAGGACCCAGCCACAACACAGTCTCCTGACCTCTGATCTACACAGGACGCATATTCTTGCATCCACCACTCAAATGGCTGAAGACCATGTTGAAATCTTCATGCCTACCCTGATTTTACCTTTGACTTCCAGAGGTATGTCCAGCACCCTGCTGACTTCTCTACTTGATTGTCTCTTGAGTACCTCAAGCGTAGCTGGCCCCAACGTATACTTATTTGCTTCCTGCTCTAGCACACTATTCTGTGCTCTAAAGAACAACTGGTACAACATAGTCCCACATCTGAGAACCTAGTTCATCTCCCCTTCTGCATCCCCCATGTCCTCAGTCTCATCTCCAGTCAACTTCATCTTTACACACCTCTTGGCAACAAGAATGTCTCTCCAGTCCAGCACACACTGTCCTTATCCAGACCCTGATAAGTTCTCCTATTTCCAATGTTTTCCAGCTAAGACATCAAAGAATGGCACTCCATGAAGGCCCCAGGAAGTGGGACTGCTCACTTCAAAAGCTTAGGCTAGACCTGCTTCTAACTTGAGCATCCCCAAACAGGTAGATTTGAGTGAATGAACACATATATTATTTCTAAGGTTGTGTTGTTCAGTTCTGATTTAAAAGGGAATAATGTTCAGATGTGTGGCTGTAATCCTTGCTCTCAGAGGCTGAGGCAGAAGAACTGTGAGGTTGGGGATAATCTAAGCTACAAAGTTCAATTAAAAAAAACTAGAAGAGTGATAACAATACCAAACACATGTATTTAACTTTGAGGCTTTTTAAATTACCTTATTTGTTTATGTGTGATCGTGTGAATAGATGTATGCATGGATCTGTGTGGATGAAAGTTAGAAATAAGTCTTGGGCATTGTTCTTTCTGAGTCTTATTGTTTGAGGCAGGGTCTGTCACTGGGACTTGGTTTGCAGTGATTAGGCTAGTGGCTGGCTCTCGAACCCCAAGGACCTCTCTGAGCCCACCTCCTAGCACTGGGATTGGAAATGCATGCTGCCATGCCTGGCTTTATATGTGGCTGCTGGGTATCATGTCAAACATTGTACCACTAAATGAGTTCCCCAAATCCCAAATTACTTTCATATTCATATCATGTGATCCTTGGAAACCTACACAGGCCACTGTTATAGTGCTTGTCCTCTCCATGTGAGGAGAGACATGCTTGGCTAAGGTCACTTGCTTTTCAGCCTTATTCTGACTCTGGCCCTCTGTTTTCTTTCTTTCATTTACTAAAGCAAACAAACAAAAGCAAATAAAAAAGCAAACCCAAATATTCACTCTTCCCTAACCATTTGAAGCTCATCTTTCTTTTTGCCTTAACACTAGGAATCCATCAGGCAAAACTTTATATGCCTTGGGTTCCCACTACAGAGATCAGTATTAAAAAAGTGACAGCAACTTATTATTTATGGCAGTATCTATTGTTACAAAGGGAGACAGACCAAACGATTGCCATTGTTACGGATGCTACTTTGACTTGACAGCTGGGAAAGTCTGATAGGCAGTTTATTTACTTAGCCATTTAACTAAATAAATGTTTTCATTTTTCTTTCATCCCTTCAAAGGCTAACATTTCGCCCTTAAAATTGCTCCAGAAACACATCAGTGAGGTACAAATTACCTGCCATCCCCACACCAGCCATTATAATATTATTTTGGTTCTTTTTTTTTTCTTTTTGTGTCTCTTGACTCAGTCTTTCAAAAACACATGATTCTCCCAGATAGGAAGGGAAGGGGACTAATTGAAGGTATTTTCCTTTATTGCTAAAACAGAGACATTTGGTATTGGCCTTGAAGTTTCCACCTGTGGGGATTGAGTCTCTTTATTCTGGACCGATGGGGATTTAATTTATCAACAGATGTCATCCTTGTTTACTTAGAACCGGGTGGCTATTTCTAATAAGAAACAGCTGAGATAGTGGTTGCAGAAGTGATAAGAGGGGTAGGGACTTTGCTTTCCAACTGCATGACAGCAGAGGGAAAATAAAGCCATGGACACAACTATCTCTGCATGGAATCCTTTCTCCAAGTGTCTGCAAAAGCTTTCAGAGATTGCAGTCAGTAAATTTCCAGGTGGTTATGAGTAAAGGGGATGGAGACAGAAAGATCACATTTGGCTTGTGCAATTTTGACACTGATGGGGGGACACAAAAAGCCTCACGAGTTTCCACGTGGGTGCCATAGGGGACCTATCTGCAAGATGGGTATTAACTCCACTACACAACTTCTGATAGGGAACTGTAAAATGGCCAGGCTGAACTTCTGCTTCATCATAAAGCATAATCTAGTTCTTTTCAAAGCTGAGAGGGTCTTTCTGTGATTTACATATGAACCCAAGATTGCTTTTTGTGGGGGTGGGCAGGGAGAGGTGGCCTATGAGGCTCAAATAGAAGTTATTCTGATTATAGGGCAAGGTTTGTCATGAGAATACTGGAAAGGCCTCACCTCCCTCCCTCTGCATTCATCTATTATGAGACATACCACAAATTATCTAAAACCAGAAAGCATCAAGCAAAACCTCCTAGTTACTGAGTTTATTCAACATGGGGTTAAATGAATGAAATCTAAGAATACAGAGCACCAGCACATATTGAATTCATACCATATTGATAACGGTGGTGATAATAGCAATAGTGATGGCAGTAGTTGTGATGCTGATGGGTGTGCTGGGGAGGGTGGCAGTGAAGGTGGTGCTGGAGGTGAAAAGAGTGGTCATAATGGTGGCGTGACTACAGTAAAGGCAGTGGTGCTGATGCTGATATGTATTATAGTAACGGTAGTGGTGCTGATGCTGATATGTATTGCTACTGGTATGGTGATGAATAAGGAAGCAGTAATGGCAGTAATGGTAATATTTGTGATGGTGGTGATGGTGGCGATAGTGATGTTAATTGTGATGATGGTGGTGACAGTGGTGGTAGTGATGGTGATAGTGGTGACAATGAGGATGGTGCAGGTTGCTAGTAATGACAAGGGTGGCAGAGGTGGTAATGACGGTAGCTATCAGATGTTCTATGTGCCAGACATTGCACTGAGAGCTCCTTATACATCACCTTCTTACTTCACCCAAATGTTCCGTAAGATGGGCATTACTTGTATCCTTATTTTTCAAATGAAGAGAGTGATTGTAAATCCTGATCAAGGTGACACAGACAAGAAGGATAAACCTAGGTTCTGAACTCTGACAATGTTACTCCCCAAACCAGACTACATTTTAGGCTGAATTTTCATGGTCTGCCTTTATGTCACAGACTGGACTTATGACATGCTAGTTAATATCAAGGATAATATAACCCTCTCCTAGCAATGAAAAATAATCAGAAATGAAAGAATATCTCTTGCCCACTTTTTTGTAGCTAAGATTTGAACTCACAAATCCTGAGCTCTTGCCACAACATCATGTAATGACCATTTACAACCCAGCTATGGATTGAGGAGCATCAAATGTGAAATAAACCAAGCCTTGTGAAACAGTTAAGCTCGTGTAAGTGCATCAAGCCAAACCAGCTCATGAAGATGAGTGCTTGCGATGTTGACCTGCCCATGGTGTAAGTCATTTTGGGTTTTTACAAGTACTTCAATTTAGGACAATGATTGCCACGATCATGATGAATGGATCTCATCACCTCTAGTTCATTCATCCAATTTTCTAAAGCGATTTGAACACGTGAAGTACAACATACACAAGAGGTAGAAAACCTCCTTGGAATCACCTCAAGGAATCTTCTTATAATCCCTAACATTTCTCATTCCTAGAGCACGGACTGCCTTTAAGAGATAAATTCCCAAAGTGGTTGTGAAAGATTAACTTTTTGAAATGGGTATTTGGGTTTTATATAGCATGTTATATTATTAGATTTTAGTAATATAAAAATGTGACAAAGCATATAATGTACTAAATTCTTTAATCATGAAAAAATCTATTAACAAAATGTACTTTCAAATCCTGAATTAGCTTTCAATTATTGTCTAAAGGACCCATGTGTATACTAGGAATAACTGTGATGTGGCCACAGAACATAGTTCTGAGCACTGAAAGCTGTTCACCATTTTCATGTCCAAGATGATGCTCTTCAGAACTAAGGGCATCTTCGAGTTTGGTCTAGTAGTCCTCCATGTTTATGGACAATCAGGAAGATGTCTGAAAATTTGACACACTTGTCAAAGCTGGCTTTAGAAATCATGTCCAAGTAACAAGGTATATTTCTGTTTCGTGAGAAGGTTATCTTCATAAGGTCTTTATTTTGATTGAATCAGAGGTATTGAAAGTTGAGTTCCAAAAGCCACTTCTAGTAAATGTAAGGATGCCTCTCTCCAATTAGCTGCTGATGGAATCTGAATTATTTGGTGCAAACCACAGGTTGCAGCACAGGTGCAAAGAGCAGTGCCTCCAGAGTGACAGCTACATGTCTTTGAATTTCACTGACACACTGGAAGGGGGTATAGAACCCTTCTTTTGGGTAGATGGGAAGGGTTACTATGACTACACACTTTGATCAATCTTATTTCAAGCATGGCTTGTTTTTGTTGCATAGTCTGGGTTCTCAGTGTGTTTGATTAGTGACCTCTTTAGATCTGTGGCATGTAGGCAAATGCAGTGACATTTTGCTTAAAAGAGTAAAGCATCTGGAGCACCTCTTACTCTCTGTGTGTGTGTGTGTGTGTGTGTGTGTGTGTGTGTGTGTGTGTGCACGCGTATGAGAGAGAGACAAAGGGGGGGAGAGAGACAGAGAGAGAGAGAGAGAGAGAGAGAGAGAGAGAGAGAGAGAGAGAGAGAGAGAGAGAGAGAGAGAGAGAGAGAGAGAGAGAGAGAGAGAGAGAGATGCGCTCATTCTAGAGGGGATAATGTTGAGCTCAATTCACATTAGGTAGTGTTGACTGGATCTCATTCTATCACCGTCACCAACTCAGAATGTCAGAATATATCATTAATTAAATAATAAAACTATTAGCCACGTTCCCTCCAACCCTACCTTTTGGTGTATGTCAAAGGTCATTCATTCATCCAAGTGAAAAGGCAAAGTGCAAAATCGAAATGAGTGAAGGGAGATTGTATAAACACTGGTAACTGGAGAGATGGCTCGGGCAAGGATGGAGGGTAGAAGTATTGGTAATACAGTACCAGGCAAGAAAAACAGTGCAAGCACTAGGAAAAAGCAACAGTGCAAGCATTAGGAAAATGCACAGACAAGGGGAGATGGTATGGATACTGTATACAGCACAGGCAAACAGACAAAGCACAGACACTGGGAGATGATGTCAGTGGCAAGCAAGAGGGAAAACCTTGCAGGGGAAGGAGATTAAAAAGGACAGATACCTACCCAGACCTGCGCTATCTAGCTACCGTCTTGTGGACTTATATTATCACCACTGGGCTCACCACTGGGCTCCCCAAATGGATCACTGGTGGAGGACGCCTGTGATCCATCAGGCTAGAACACAAGAAGATAACACTTTTTTTTTCTCTCTTCAACAACTGAAAATATAAGGCAACTAAGATTATATTCACGCGGCACATGTAACCAGTTAATTTAAAGGAGGACTGAAACTTCCGCAGAGGATGCCATCTCCCAGATGCTCCTAATAGCTTAATAAAAGGTCAGTGTTTCTGGCTGATGCATCTGAGCATACAACAAAGTCCCTTCAGAGGCTGTTTGAATACCAGCTCTGAGCGACCATTCTCTTTTATGTTGGCATCCTCATATACTATGGGGAAATTTTAATTTTTATAGAGAAGTAGGGCAATCAGTAGGTCACTTACAGCCTCTTGTTCTTCACTCTTGCTGGGACTTTCAAAGCCTTCTTCGAAGATGTCGTCTGGGTTCGGATCGCTGGCGTGGGATGCTGATGATTTAGATGGAGAGCTCTGCCTAGGCGCTGGGGTTGGAGCTATGTCAAAAGAAGAAATGTGATAAATAGAATTATAGCCACAACCATTCATATCCCACAGAGATACCTGGGGTCCCTTTATATTTGAGTCACGTCTCTCTTCTCCCCATCTCAGGTCAAGTCTATGTAACTGAATTCATCCCACGGTTATTCAGGAACACCAGTCATTGAACCCTACAGGACAGTGACTGAATCAGGAACTTTGAACAACTCCTATAGCACTTCTGACACATGAGCAAGTTGCAAGCTGCTGGGCAAGGTTGACTTTCTCTCTCTTTTAGCAGAAGACACATTTTTTTGAATGACTTTTGTAGATCAGCCACTGCTAGAAAATTTAAGGGCAGTAGCCCCCAAACTTGTAAAACTTCGTTGAGATAGAAGCTACCTATGCTTTCCCGAAAACTGGAGATTGCTAATACTTTCATGGCAACTGCTAAACCAGGCTTTGCATTCTTGCATACACTCAGTGCTTAATAAGTACAGGCTGGGGCGGGAGAGCACTAATAGGCAACGGCAAGCTTGTTGTGAAGAATATGCACCTGCTACCATGACCTCCTATGTCTTCCTCCTCTTACTTGTTCCACAGGTTCCTACCACAGATGCCATTGGAAATTGTTCTTTTAACTTACCATAGGGAACTCTGGTCACTGACTTTGTTCCCAGGTATGGAGTGACTTAATAGGTGAATAGCAATGCCACTGATAAGTGCTCCCTGTCACACTATTCCAGACCTTAGCAAATATCTGGTATTTTATAAGTGAGTGAATGATTGCAAAAGTTAGTGTTGCCCTTTTGCTTCACAAGCATAATTTCCAGCTCTTTTATCATTCACAAAATGCCAATGAGGCTAACACTGACCAAGCTCTTTTCCTTCATTATGCTCCTGATATAAACAACTATGTGCAGTATTACACATTTCCTTAAGGTGTTTGGAGCCAGAGCCCAGAGGAGCATGGGTGAACACTCACATTTACACAGGTGGGAGTATTGTTGGGCCCAGTGTAAGCTCCTGAGACTGACTTTGAGTTTAGGACTCGGATCTGAGGCCTGGCTAGAGTTTGGACCTACGGGATGACACAGATGTATCTAACACTATTCAGTCTTTTCTATTGGAGGTGTTTTTGTTTTTATGTTTTATTTTTGAATAATTAGTCTTTTGCTCGCATCTTGAAGGAATGCTGACAGAGAAGAGGATACAAAAACTGACTTTATTTTCAGTAAGATAAAACATTACGTGTATCTTGTTTTGTGAGTTGGCTTCATAGCAAACCAGCTGCACTAGGTTTAATGCTGTAGAAGGATACATTGCTGAGTGGGTAATATTAGCTTAATTGCGTTCTGAATTGTGCTTGAAGTGGCTTATTGCCTACAAAAGACAGAGAAATCAGGTTGAGCCATCAGTCCTAACAGTATACTCCTCACAGTTCCCGAGTGAAACCAAAGGGAGCACGGCTAGAGTTTATTTTCACAAGCTTCTCAGTAGTCACAAGACTTTCCAGAGCACTTCAGTGTTTGATGGCCATGTTTTCTCAAGGTGGGTGGTCATTTTGCCTTCCAGGTGACATTGGCAATGTCCCCTGGTTGTTATGAGAAGAAGGAAAGGATGAAGATGTTGTTTACATCTGGTTGGGTAGAAGCTGGAGTGCTGATAAGTACTGCACACTACACGTGACAGCGTCCTGCAACACAATCATCTGTCCCCAAATGTCAGCAGTGATACATTGGCACAACCTTCCTCCCAAGCACAGTGATGGTGAAATGGCCTTTTGGGCAGCCTATTTTATTCTCTACAACCTTTCCTAACATCTGCATGTGTGAGGCACCCTGCTAGCGTTCTGAGAAATGTGGGGATGATGGTAGGACAGCCCCTGCCCTCAAAGAACTTCCTTGTTTGTAGGCAGCCCATGGCTCATTGAAAAATGAAACATGTGCTTTTAAAAAACCCTTGTTCATTTATGCATGACTGTTATTTCTTTAGCATTTCATTTTTTATTCATTATTCTTCATTGAAACCCCATGGATTAGAATTAATAGAAATGCCTTGGCTATGTAGCACCCATGGCTTGAGTGCAAGGCCTTCATTTTCAGAACAGCATTCTGAACCTGGCTGAATGACACAATCTAATTGTATTCGCATTAGATTTTTTTTTGACAATTCATGGTATTGGCCATCCAGTGATCCGTATCACCGGTGACAGTAATGAAAACGCCAAACTCATTGTACCATGAGCCTTTTCTTCCCCTTATCAATTGTCAAGGCACAGGCTGAGTCACTGGAACACTTTTTTCCGATTGTGTCTGACAAGCACAAGCGTGCTCAAGTGTGTCTGGATCCCGACTCGTCAACAAGCTTTCTATTTTTGGTGTTTGCAGTGGGAAAAGTAAGTGGAAGCAGCATCCAAAAATGCTAAGGCCAGAAGGAAGCTGCTGCTCCTACAAGGGGTCCAGAGACTCAGAACAATGGCTTGATTTGTCTTAAGACACAGCTTGCCATGACAGAGCCAGCATTAGAAAGTAGGAACCTGTAAAATCTCCTGACTAAGATCCCAATGATGAAGATTCTCCCATGTTGTAATGCCTTTAAATAACTGGCTCTACAGAGTTAAGAACCACAAAGTCCACAGAGGCAAAACTGTTACTCAAAAGCACACAGTCAACGGGAATAAAGAGAAGTCCATGTGTCTGTCTGTCCACTCTCATCTCATTCTACTCGGTGTCAAATATCAGGCTCCGATATGACCTCATGGCTATAAATTCTGCCTTACATTTCCCCTGATCTTCATTTCTTTTCTAATTATTAAGCCTTGTTTCTAAATTTAATTTCATTATTTATTGTATGTGTGAGTTTGAGTGTGTGTGTGTGTGTGTGTGTGTGTGTGTGTGTGTGTGTGTGTGTATGGAAGTCAGAAAATAACTTTGGGACTCAGTTCTCTCCTTCTACCATGAGTTCTGGAGATTGAACTCAGGTCTTCAGATTCAATGGCAAGCACCCTCACCTTCTGAGACCTTTCTGGCCCCATGCTTCTGCTTTTAAAAAATGACATTTATTTTCATTTTAGTAAGTCATGCTAAAATGTGTGTGCCATGGGCTGACACATACATGAATCACAACTGAGCATATTAACAAAGCCATAAGAAGCACAGTAATGTTGTGGGCAGATGCCAGGCACACATTCATCTGTATCTCATTGTGTACTACTGTCTGTGAACCTTACTGCCACTATCTGTCTGTCACACAGATCTAGGGCAACTTGGTATCAATGTTACATAAAAAGAGAGCTAGAGAATGAGGTGGGGGTGTGTGCTATAACTGGTAGCCGAGTTGGTCGCTATGGGGACTGTTATCAGTAGTGTCAACAAGCTTGAGATACAAATGAGATAGACTCTGAACCCAGTAGCTTAGTTACCAGAAAAAAAGGCGTTCTACTCATCAGGTTTTAGAGCCCCCTGAAAGGACACTCACGTGAGTTGGTGGACGGTGTGGTGGAAGTCACAGGTGTCAAATTCAATTGGGAGATGTCAAAGTCATCACAGTCGTCTGTATCTTGTGCCACCCCGACTTTGTTGAAGTAACTGGAGAAGGCCTCTGAGGTACAGGTCAGGGAGGGCTGGTCAGGCTTACGGGAGGGCACGGGTGGAGGCTGGACCATCTGGAAATCCTTAAACATTTCCTTCCCCATTTTCTGCCTGGGCTTGTCACTCTGTGGACTTGACCTGGCAGAGTCATTCGTGCCTGGGACGGTTGCAAGGGGGGTGAGGGGACCTTGGAACATGGCAGCTGGTAAAGGCATAACAGTTTGTGCGGGCATGAAGGCGGCTGGCGGGAACTGCCCGGCCACAGCTGGCCAGGGTTGCTGGGTGGTAGGAAAGAGACCTGGCTGGCCCCATGCGATGGGTTGAGCTCCTGGCATCACCTGAGCAACGGGTGGCTGAGCACCCATGGCGATCTGCTGTTGAACGAGGGGCTGCTGGCCCCAGAAGGACGGGAGGACGGCGCCCATGGCGACATAACCTGGAAGGGGAGAGAGGAGGTTCAGGCATCCTGGAGCAGAAAAGTGTATGGATCTGAGTGATTGACAGATACGTGCCGCCCATTGACAGCGAGGAAGCAGAGGTCTCGCTTTTCACCTCAGCCTCTGAAGCGCTAACATTCAGAGCTTCACGCTGCATGCTGCCCTGTGACTGAGAAACTTTAAAGTTAGGTCTCAGGTAGCTTCAGCAATTGAGACTGCTCTCAGGTGACCAAGTAGAGGCAAAGTGAAAACATAGGCAAGGCCGCCTTCCACTGAGACATTCCAGCTCCTGAACTATGAAATTTGGGAAAGTGGAGCAATGGTAAGAATACTATTATTATTCCCCAACTCAAGCTGTGTTTCACTCCCTATTTGTGACCTTTCCCAGGAGAGGTACTCCTGGTGCCCCCTGCAGAAGGTAGATGTCCTAAGGTCAGGAGGCTTATGTCTTTCTCATGTGGTTATCCTAAGTCCTAGCATAGTCTGGCCTCTGTAAATGTTCACTGTGTGTCAGGTGCAGTCATCCACACCTTGTATATAGAATTACATTAGCCTTCAGATCATCCCATTGAAATATGTATGTCCATCTTATAGATAGAGACCTGGAGCACTGTGGATGTTAAATCCCTATAGGATGATGCATGGTCCATTGTTCCACATCCTCACAAAATCCCTGCATGTTAGATACTATTATGTCCATTTAGGCATGAGGGAAACTGATGCTCAGAGAGGAAAGGTAATTTGCTTAAGGTCACACAGCTTGCAGAAGGTAGGATCAGGATCCAAACTGAGGTAAGTCCTTCTCTAGTCAGTATTCTCTTCCTTGTGTTATATGCTTACATCCAGATGGCCAAGACCTATTTAAGGTCTGTCACAGTCACTGGGCCTAGGCTACCATGGGATGTGTCAGCACACTTTGGATCTACTGGAAATTCTTACATGCTTTCAGTGGTCCACATAGTGGCCACTTAAATGGACACCTTAGCCCAAGAGACAAGTGGCCATTCAGTCATGGCAGAGGGTAGAGAAGCTACCCTTGTTCAGAGAAGCACTTTAATGGCTGCCAGAATGAAGTTGCAGGTATAGTACAATAATATCACAACAAAAAAGGGAGAGAACATAGGGTATCCTAGCAACATCTAAAGGGATAGTGGACAGGTGGTGTGGTAATGATAACATCATGGTAACTCCGAGGAGCCCACAGTGATTGTGCACCCAGTACCTTGTCCTAGTCCCAGATTCAACTGTCCCTTAACAGGTTGATTCAGGGCCAAGTCAACAATCAAAGTCTGGTCATTTCTATACTTCCTTGCCATGCTGCCCCAGGAAGAAACTTTAGAGAGGACACAAGGACTTCTTTGCTGGTGAATCTAACCAGCGTTAAAGGCTTTTAAAAAATGAAACATACATCTCAACAGACAAGTCCAATTGTACTGGGCATGAGTGATATTGTTCTAAGTTCACAGTTGTTCACACTGCTTCATCTGTTACCTACTAATTCAGCGGCTTGACCAACACACTAAGTGACAAGTGGGCCACTTGTTTCTGATGTCCTTTAACATAACTAAATTATTCTCAGAGGGATTGCTCCCAGGAATAAAGAGGAAATTTGTGAAATGTTTTTAAATTAATTTTTTGTTTACTTTGCATACCAACCACAGTTTCCCCTCCTTCTTCTCCTCCTGTTCCCTCCTCTCACCTCTTTCCTATGCCAGCATCTACTCTTCAGGAAGGGTAAGGCCTCCCATGGGAGTCAACAAAGCATGGTATATTGCTGTGCCCACTGCGCAGCCTGTGTCCGAGAATGTTCGAAGGGTGTCGGGATTGATGACACAGAGACCAGTAGGTGATGCAAAGAAAGCTTCAAGAAGGCTTCCAGAAGGCTCCTCAAGAAGGTTCTACTTTATTCTTACCCTGGCTGGTTATTATATGCCCTGACACCATAGGTGGTGGTGGGTGGGTCAGGAAGAGGTGGTTAGTCTTTGGAAAAGGTCAAGGTCAGGGTGTTCCCATGGGTGAGCCCTTATCAGGAACTTATTGCTCCAGGCACCATATTGTTTTTAGTAAACATTGTCTTACAGCTGCCTGCTCCCAGGCTGATGGGGAAGTGGGCCTCTGGCCAAGGTCTGTTGTTCCCATAGTATATCAAGTTGAAGCAGGACCAAACTTCTTCCTCCTCCTCCCCCACCGCATCAAGGCTGAGTGAGGCATCCCCCCATAGCGAATAGGTTCTGAAAAACCAGCTCATGCACCAGGGACAGACACTGGTCCTACTGCTAGGGGCCCCACAAACAGACCAAGCTATATAACTGTCACCCACATGCAGAGGGCCTAGGTCAATCTCATGTTGTTGGTTTAGAGTCCATGAGCTCCCATGAGCTGTCTCTGTGGGTTTCCTCATCATGATCTTGATGCCCCTTGCTCATATAATCTCTCCTCCCTATCCTCAACTGGACTCTCAAAGCTCAGCCCAGAGTTTGGCTGTAGATCTCTGTATCTGCTTCCATCAGTTATTAGGTGAAGGTCTATAATGACAAATTAGGGTATTCACCAATCTTATTACAGGAGAAGACCATTTCAGGTACCCTCTCCACTACTGATAGGAATCTTAGCTGGGATCATTCTTGTGGATTTCAGGAGTTTCCCTGTTATCGGGTTTCTCCCTAACCCTGGAGAGGGAGAACAATGAAAGATATATCTTGATAGAGGGGGCCATTCTGGGGCTAGAGAGAAACTGGTGGGATGTTTTAGTTGTTATGGTAACTACAGGGAAGCCTGGGGTCTCATGGTATTTAAGGAGCCATCAGCATTTATAGCAGATGCCTTACAATTTGTGAGACCAGTGAACAGGACAATGGACGATTTCACCTCCTGCCTATGAATGGGTAAGCCTAGGTAGACTGAATGGCTCAGAAATTCAGTTTCTTTGCACAGTCAACACCTATGATTTTCCATGAATGAAACAAATGTGCACACTCAAGGAAAACTATACTTCATTTAATGTGGAAAATTCAGGAGTGTTTTTGGAAAATAGTGGCAACAGATAGAAACACTTCTCATGGAGGCTGGTCTCAGCCTGTATTTTCAGCTCTAGCTTTTACTGGTGACTCTTATCAAATAAGACCATCTCATTACTCATCATGTCCTGTAGCATGGTCATGCCTAAGTATTTCTAAATTGAAATACATGCTTTTATTATAAAGCACTTCTCATTTCGATTCCACACTATCAGTACGACATTATACTGATTAAAAAATTGTGTCAGAATATTATATTATCTATGAGTTTCAACACTGCATACATTTGTTCTAAAAAGAATGATCTAGGCTTCACAAGTGGTGACTTATCCAGGGACCTTTCAATGACCCCAGTGACTCCATTGCCAATTTTAGTGAGAGGGTTTCTACCCAGCCACACCACCATCTTCCTTCTAATTGCAAATGTATCTGTTCTTTGATGATGGGTTATAACCTAAGAAAACCAACAGTGAACTCAAGATACTGCAGGGTCTAACCGACTGTGTGGCTTAGCTGCCAAGTACATTGGGAAGTGACCTTTAAACTTCTGATTGCACGGCTGACTGGGAGTCACAGCTCCCTTGGCTGCCCAGCATCTACAGAGAGCACTGAATCAGATATTGTTACCCTGGGGAAAGATCAACATTCACAGGGTAGTTCTACTGAATGCATATTGCCAACACATAAACACAAAGAAAGGAATCCTAAGGAGGAGCATTTTGAGCCACAACTTAGGGGTCTGTGTGGCACTTTGCTGTCTTGAGCATAAGGTTCAGATAAGGCTTGGCTCACGAGCACTGACTGGTGCATGGATCAGGGGGATGGACATCTTCACCATTTTTTCCTAAGAGTGCAATGTAAGATCCACAAACACTGTGATCTCTGATGATTCCACTGCTGGTAGCAGCCCCCCACCCCATATTTTCTTTCTTTTTTTCCCCCCACAGGGAGCTAACAGATGGGCTATGCACAATTTTTGGGAGAGAGCTATTAGCATGTCTCTCTGGCTCCAAGCCATCTGCTCCAGACCAAAGTATAATATTCAGAAGAGAAAAAGGCAGCTTTGGGTAATTGGTACCATGTTGGGGAGCTTACAGATCTTATCCAATTTTCCTGGTTGGGGGAGAGGGGGTTGTGCAGCCTGAGCTCTACCAAAGCCTGGGAGCCACTGCCTTCTAGCCAGAGGCCTTATGCACCCCTGAAGGGGCACCTCAGCACCAGGACTAAGGCGGCATTGGTCTTAGGGAGCAGCTTCATGGCATCCACTGCAGCTGCCTAACAACTCGTTTGCTGCACACCTCTTAGTATGTGCAGCCATGGAAGGATGAGGTACCAAGGAACATCTGTTTGTGTTGGGTAATACAAACCTCTTTGCTGCTATCTAACTGCATTCCCACTTTGCAGTTAGGGATTTATTTTTTTAAGTGTTAAAAAATTGTAATTTATAATGAGATCTCAGCTCTGGAGACACCCCTACCTATGACTGAGGAAAGGAAAACAAAACGAGACTAAATTATAAGAAACACATGGAAAACAAAGGGTCTCTGTATTTGTATAAAACTTGTAATGTACCTCCTAGCTACATTACCTTATGTGACTCATTCATTCATCCAAAAATATCCATGTTGGATGCCTGGTTCTAATTCAGTCTCTAGAGATGTAGAGAAGAACAAAACATCAGCCTCCCCTTTTTGGTGGGGGAGTAAATCCTTATAGGAAGCCTCTTGGGTAGCTATTACCACTATCTGTTTAATCTGTATGCATGAAATTCTTCTTCCATGAAGGCATGGTTTGCAACAGCCAGTTATATGAGCAGCAAAGCATGGACCCCTGATAAGACTCACGTATCTTCCACAGAGCATCCTAAAAATACATTTCTGGGCAAAATTACAAAGGTCTTCTATAAGATACCACTCACAAGGTTCTCAGCTCTGGGAGGTCAAATCATCACCCTCCATTTTACAGGTAAGGCCCTAGGCTAAGCAGAGATCAAGCTGGGTCATCTGCAGTTGCTTGGTGGCAGAGCCTATGTTCTGCAGTCCACCCAAGCCACCTCTGTTAGGAGTAGTCAAAAGACTAAAGACCTAAATTTTATTATGTGCATTAAAAATTCCAGGAAGATAAATGAAAAAAAGATAGGGAAAGACAGGGCATATATCCTTTGATTTTCATAATCAGAGCTGTAATAATAAAATACTAACAGTCCTTTCTACATTGAGAGCCTACAATGCACAAGCATTTTCCAAGGTGCTTAATTATTTCATTTTGTTCTCATGATACTGACATAAGGTACTGTTTTTCAATCCATGTATGAAGATGAAAATTTGCCTCTGACAGATTATCTGCCCCAACACCTAAAGCCAGAATCCAAGACTCGCTAGGAACTTTGCAAGTCCTCAGCAGTCAGCTAGACTTTGTGGGACTGTCCACTTCTTGACCTTGTTTCCTACTGCTGGCTAGACAGATAATTTGTGCAAGGTAGATGGAGGTAGGCCAGCTGGTGGCATTTAAATACCAGTTGCAGAGGGGAAGGCAGATTATCACCATCTGAGGACTACCTCAAGTATATTTTATGTGAAATATAAAAAATACACTAACACAAATTAATTTTAGACTTATGCTCTGAAAGCTGATTAGATTTTTCAAGACCCCATGGAGATAGCATTGCAAAGCTGGTTAAGTAGTAGGAGACTATACTCTTGAAGCTGGCCTGGGAAAAAGCAGAGTAGTACTGTGTCTTACCAAGGTCTCCAGGGCATTTGCAGTCAAATACGAGTGCAGGGGGAGGCATGAAACCACACCTAGGGCCAGCTTGTGCTTTAAAGAGAAGACTATGGAAGCAGGAATGGTCAAACTTCCTCCCCCTGCCTGGAACACCCTGAACCAGAAAACCTGTCTGCTTCCTTCCTTGGCCCTTCACCCTCTTGGTGTTGACTGACCTAAGAGAGCCTCTGGACCACACCGTCTTTGGCCAGGACTCTGGTGTCCAGCCTCTGCTCTATGCATCTTTTTATCCCCTTAACTCTCATATTCTAATGTATTGAACAACTGATCTATACTATGGTTTATGACCCCAGCTACAGGGAAGCCCTATATGCTCACTGCTGTACCCCAAGCACCTGGAACAGGAACTGGCATATAGTGGGCACTCAGTGAATACTTGTAGAGTAAGCACACCTGAAGATTAGTAAGTGTTGGGTCTAGCACTGCTATCACTGATCTTTGTAGACAAAGCAATGGGGACAAAGCATGGGTCTGTGATGATAAGGCTCGGGTGCAGGCACGTTCCTGACAAGACATTTTTATTCATATTTTAAATGACACATTCTCTTTTACCATTCTCTAGACCAAAACGTTTAGCTGGGAAGGGGGAGGGGCTTGGAAATGAATACATTTCTAGGTTGCCTACAGATACTAAGCTATAAGTCAATGGCAGTCGCTATCAACTTTATTGCTTCTAAAAGTTTGTGATGATCCTTAGACTCAAGAAGAGGAGCTGTATTCCAGAACAGGCTATGAATTTTTAATTTACATACAATAACAGCAAGGTTTATATTTAGTATCAAGAATTTGCTTCTAATACTATATAATTAAAATTAATTATTTACATAAAAATACACAAGCAGATTTGTATTCTAAAATATTGAAGCTCTCATTTGCTGTTTATAAGAATAAAACAAAGACAGAAATAGTGAGTCTTCAACTCAGAGAACATAGGTAGAGGAAAATGCAATACTCATTTAGGCTCCCAGATAGTTAAAAGAACTAAACTCTCCCATGAGTGGCCCTTTCCAAGTGGAACGACCTGGATACCTGGGTGGCAGATTATCATGAACACAAAGTATAACCCCTGGCATACTACTCATTTCTAACTTACCTGCAGTACTGTGATCACAGGTATTTTTAGCCGGTTGTAAATATAGTCTACATATTTTAAAGAATACTTGGAAAATAAAAAGATACTTTCTAAATCTCTAAAAGAGATTCTCAACCACTAGAAGTTCACCATTGTCCTACACCGCTCTCCATGTGGGTGGGGGACCTCTCTTTCCTTGATCCCAGCAAGGATTTAAGAGGTATGTCTCCTCTCTCCTTCAAACCATCTTCCCTGCCTCTGGCTGAAGTGATGGAGAGGTAACAGCCTTGTAATGATTTGCATGTCTGTGTATACAATGCCATGTTTTCCCAACAACCCTGAGTCTGGAATTTCCCAGGTGGCATCAACATCCACAGCTTTGTGTTTGACCACTTGCCCACGGGGACATGGCTGTCTCATGTCTCTTGATGAGTCACAGGTGAGAACAGCGCTCCTTAGGTGTTCTAACAGTATTTGATGCTGGATCTGTTAGTTGTCTGAATGAGATCTATGGGAAGTAGGAGGGAGGGGGGTGGCCTTACCTGAGGGTACAGCAGCAGTGCCAAAAGACACAGAGCCAAACACATCTGCACTCCCCGGAAGCGTCTGGGATGACGGCGGGAGAAAGGCATCACCTGGGGTTGCTGGAGTCTGCCAGACAGAGAGGGCCAAGGGAACAGAAGCATGAGAACTGCTCAGCAGTCCACACAGATAAAGGAAGTGGGGGTGAAGTGGGCACTGTTACAAGGAGACACAGTCCAAGTCACAGGTGTGCTTCACAGTCTGTGGGTTGGTGACAGAAACGTTAGCTCACCCTAACCCTCCCTCCATAGCTGCAGTGAGGACTAAACGAAACCATGCACCTAAATAATTATTTTTTATTAAGTTTTCTTAAGTACCACACACAGGCATAGAGTTGATGTTCATTACATGATGGCCAGTATGATAATTCATTTGAGTCCCTACCTCTGGGGGTTTTCAGGCCACCAACTTATTCCATCATATACGGCTTTCACCACTTGCAAGCAGTCAATTCAATCTGAACCCTACTGTATTCTCAGTTTAGAGCTTATCATTGATTACATGGTCAGTAAACAGTTGGCCAAATAAACAAAGAGAGCTTGGCGAATTGGATGGAGTGCAAGCCTGTGTGTCCTGGAACCTTGCAGACTCTTGCTTGAACCTCCCATATGCAAAAGAGAAGGAAATATTTTCATGACAACATCTTAACAACAGCAGGGTGTCTGGGAGCTTATAGCACCAAAGGGGCACAAGCTGCAGTTCCAGGAAAGGTCAGATGCATGCTGGGTAAGGAGAGATTTATCAGTAAGAACATCCACACCTGTTGACTAGAGGCTTTTGCCTACAGAATGTAAACTGTTCAATGCCATAATATCCTTGTTGGTCCCTGCCCCCTCCACTGGAACAGACTGGGGCAAGCAATTAATCCTGAAACCATGGCAATTAGACAGGACCATTTTTAGACTGTCAGCTTCCGGGACAAGTGGCATTGTTCTGGGGATTACTAAACATCCATTTGGAAGGCGCCTGGGTTCAGGGCCAGAAATGCAGCCCTGAGCTGCTGTGTTAAGCATTTTTGCACATAGTCAGAGCTGTTCCTGGGTCTTAGTTTGCTCATCAGTACAATGCAGGGGGAAGAAGGGAGAGCCCTTTGGGTCTGTTCTTGAAAGTTCTCCACCCCAGCCGTTATCCGAGGGTGCTGTAGGAGGGAAAGCCTCATGAGGGTGACCTGGCTTCCCTGGGAAGAAGACAACGTTGCAGTGGAATTCAGGTGTTGGGTGCAGGGCAGCTGTGCCTGGATTCCCCAGCGGCAACTGTGGGCTGCAGAGTCTCAGGCCATCTGTCCTTGGTGGTGAGATCACAGCCCTTTCTCTGTGAGGCGCATCTCACCAACCAACCATAGCACTGTGCCTGTGTTTGTCCAATTGTGTGGTGCCCAGTGGAGCAGTCCATTCCCAGCAGCTTCAGTTGGTGCAGCTGTGGCTGACTGCTCTCTACACACCTCTGGGGAGCAGTGGGCGTTGGGGTTGGCTGTGGCTGAAGAGGGCAGGCTGGCTACTGCAGGGGCAGGATTGGGGATGACAGTGTCCAGCACTGAGGTGCTATTTTGCTTTGTTTTTTTAACTCACTTTTCCTTCTCTTGCCCTTTCCTTCTGTACTTTCAAAGGGAGGCTCCATGCAGTGTCCATCCTCTTGCAAGCAGTGCTCCAGATGCTGTTACTGAGCTGTGGCTGTGAAGCTGGAGTTTCACAAGTGGATCTGGGAGGCACAGATCATGGTTTGCAAGGATCAAAGGCAGCCAGTGGCCAGTGACCACAGAGTGAAGTGAGTGGGGAGAAGGGAAAGGCAAGGCAAGGATGAGGCAGAAGAGGCTGACCACTGTGCTGTGGGGGTCAGTAGATGATGACACATGCCCTCTCGGGCTTCCTACCCTGTTGAGTTTCTTGTCCATATTCACAACTCAGCTACTCGCTCTTGGTGGGTACAAACTACGTATCTTTCCCATCTCCCTTCATAGAGCCCGAAGAGCAAACCCCAAACAGTGCCCGTGGTTGTCAAATGCATTGAGTTCATGGTGTCGTTTATTCCTCAAACCAGAGATAGTCATCCAAATCCTTTCTCCTTCATAGTAATGGAGGCCGAGGCTCAGGAATATTAGTTGAAATCTACCAGCCAGGCTCTCTCACCAAAGCCCAGACTGTGTCACTGTGTGGCTGGGGGAAAGGGGTCAGGCAGCAGGGTTCAGAGGGCACTGCATACTTACAGGGGGAGAGGTTATATCAGGAGGGGTGGACATGTCTCCAAAAAGTTCTAATTGGGTCACAGCCTGAAAAGACAGAGAGATAATCATGTAAGCAGGAGAGTGAATACTGGCAGGTATTTTAAAACCTTCTGTGAGAGCAGCCACCCTTTCCTCCATTACCACCATGTGAACAGTGAGGTCAGTCATTCACTGCTACACGTCATGGTTCCACGGCAATACTCTTTGATAGAACCACAATCAATTTACTTCTCCGTGTCTAGTTGTCTCTCTAGGTTGTTGAGTAGCACCCAAATGCTATAAACAGTGTTAACAGCACTTTATCCTAATGCACTATCAAATGCAGTCATGGACAGAAATGGAATCCTCAAGTGCAGAAACCACCCATCCAAAAGCTACCTCCTATAGGAATGACAAGGGATGACTACAAGGTCCTTTCTCAATTAATACTCCCCACATCCCTCGTCCTGAGAGGTAGGAATCCTGTAAAGAAACTGATTCACATAGAGGTTACACCAAGGTCATCTAAGTCAGGATGTCAGGATTTGTATTTTCTAGATAGAGAGCATGCAGCCAAACATGTATTCTTCCCCAACTCTGTCTTTGGGATAAAAAATATGGTTGGATGAGAAGAAAACATTTCATTTAACACTAGGAAAGGCATCAAACCCAGTCTAGTATACACACTATCAATCACTTCTAGGAACTCCATCCCTACAGACACTGGACCATCCATCTTCCTGTCCATCATATGGTGTGTGTGAGAAAGCCTGGCCAGAGATCAGAAGAACCCTTTTAAGCTACACTTAGGAATTAATCTGTATATACTTTAGCTTCAGGGACCATAGGGATTCTTTGGCCAGGAACCGAATGTCCTGACTTAATTATGCAAAGCATATAATCACATGCTTTGTGTGAATCTGTCCACTGAACAAAAACTATTTCCCACTCATCTTCAGATCTTAACTGAGGGCTCGTGATGTAGGTAACCATAAAACCCAGTTAACAGAAGGTACAGGAAGAGGTTGACTGCCATGCTCCTCTAGTCCTACACAGACATTTAGCTCTAGCTTGGATCGATAGGATTCATATCAAAAAAGAAATGATTGTTCATTCTGATGAGTGAGGCAGCTTTGAGTTCAGGAGAAGGCCCCACAGAGGGGTGTGTATGTTGATTCTAACCATTCCAAGCACCTTCCAAGCTTCACTTCCTCAGAAGGATGATGGAATTGATAATATCTCCTTATATGTAATAGAGTTATCATCCCTAATTTGAAAATGCAAAACCTCAAATATTCTAAATCTTAAGCATTCTGAGTGTTCATAGGAGGCCATAAGTGGAAAACTCTACACTTGACTCCCAGTAAGGGTCATGGTAAAAATGCTGGGACACTAAATACACTGTATGAAGTTATATGCAAGGCATGGGCAGAGGTATATATGAGGCAGAAAGGAATTGTGTGTTTAGGTTTTGGTTCAATCCCCAAGGTATGTCATTCTGAATATGTCCCAACTTCAAAATCTAAAACACATTTGGTCCTAAGTATTTCCAACAAGGGATGCTCATAATAGCAGGGATTGTTCTCATACTTGGCTAAGGCTGGCTGAATGGCACAAAAGACCCTTTTCCTTCACAAGAATGAGGCTCCATTGTGTGAGTTCCACTTCTGTTCCTTCCCCTTGGGCTCTCAGATTGAACAACGGCGCCTGGCACACACAGTGTTTTGTTTCTATCCAAGTACACACCATTCTTCCCACAAACCTTGAAGAAGCAATATGGTGCTGGGCTCTGCACTAGGTGTTAGGGGTAAAAAAAGAACTGCCAAGTCCCAACTGCAGGTAGCGAGGGTATGTTGGGGATGGCAGTCTACAGATGCAGATTCCTTCAAGGACAGAAAGGATGACCAAAGTATCAGGGGTGAGGGACAACTGAAACCATGTCTACTAGGGGCAGGGAATTTAGTCAGAGTTTTTGAAGGGAAACAGCCTGTCTCCAAATCCTGCAGGAGAGGTACAGTTAACCTGGTGACAAAGGACCCAGAGGGCACATCTAACTCCATGAGCCAGGAAGAACACTAGGGGAGGGAGAGCTGTTTGGTGTTACCAGCATGAACCTCTCCTGGGAGAAGAGACAGACAAGGGGACTGGTCAAGGCTATAGAGGCACTTATGTCCACTTCTCAGTCTTCCCCACTGGCTCTCTCCTAATAGCTTTCTTCTTACACTGTGACAATCCATCAGCTGATGTGCACACAGCAGCTGGCATGTAGGGTGTGCCCCAAATATGGACTCTCTTATTTACTTCTGCAAGCCTTCTTTGGCATGCCCACAACATCTCACCTGATATGGTGAGGGCTAGCCTTTGGTCCCTTCTCCTTCTGCATAAAAGACTAACTACTTAATGAATTCCTGGAGTTTGGATTTCCATGCTTATAAAATGGCTCAGGACTATTTTCAGCATTGGGAAAATATTAAAATGAAGTTAATAATTAAGTCACACAATTTACATCTCAAATGTGTTGAACTCATGGCATACTTTTACTAACACCGTAAAGATAATTTATTGGCTAATTTTCTCCTTAAGCACAACTTTTAAAATAACCTTCTTTCTTGAGATATAGCCCTTCCTCTTGCCAAATGATTTTCACTCAAGGATTAAACGAGAAAAACATGGGGAGGCATAAAACATAGGCTGTTATTTCGTTTCATTGGATTTGCTGTTTAAATAGAACCCCGAGTTAATTAAATTTTATAGAAAAAGGGGTTCTTGGGCCATAAAATTAAAAATAATCTGAATAACCACATATGATTGAGAATCAGGAACAGTATCTATTTTCACAATCCTCCCCCATGTGAGCCCTAGTCACTTATTTGTAACCTAATAAACCATGTTCCATCCGAAAATACTGTCCTCATCCATCATTTTAAAGGCCTCAAGAGAATAAAGCTAAGAGTTCACATTTGTAAAACACTTTACAGCTCACAATAAGCTTTCCCATACATTATCATCATGTATGACACTCCCTGAGCCAGGAAAGCCGGCTCCATAGTTACAGTCTGTCCTTTACTGATCGGTTAACTGAGGCTGAAGTGAGTGACCTGCTTGGGATCAGTTGGGGAGGGGGGGAAAGCTTGGGGTACATTGCCCTGCAGCACAACAAGACCCTTTTTCAATCTGTCAATTCACCAAGCCCTGGTCAGTCTTGCTTAATGATGGTAGTTAGCGCTCTGATATCTTCCCACCAAAAGCAAGAGTTCCCAAGAGACCTGCTATGCTGCCCCCCATTGGAGGTTATTTGCAGCTTCCATTACAAATGTCTGCTTATGATAGAGGGACCTACCCACCACACAAGCATTTCAGATGCTGTCTGTAGAGGTGTAGGTGGCAGATATGTTTCTTTTAGAAGATACTGGGTATTCTCCAACAGTAGGTAGAGAGATGCTGAGGCTGCCATGGTCAGTGATGGAGATAAGGAGCTGACAGGTTTAGGTCAAGGCCCTCAATATCTCCCTCAGGCCTGGTCCTGGCATATCCACTTTAATTTAAACAAGTGATAGCTTCCAAGGTATATAGAACACTGAAAAACTGCTGGTTCAAGATTAGTCCCCTGGCCCTTCTTTCAACATAACTGCAGCAAGTAGTCCTAGAATCCTCCTGAGGGGACGTTTTGGTGATACAATTGAAGAAGGATGGGAAGACCCCCACAACACAGTCTCTCACGGGCTCAGTCCCTATGTTTTGGGAACAGGAGATCCTGGGATCCTTCAGGAAATGATAGGGATTCTTATCATGCATGGGCTACTGTGCCAAGAACAGGGACACAGACCTGAGGACAGCATACTCCTGCCCCTGTTTTCAGGAGCTGGCTGCTATATGGAAGACAGACCTATAAATCAACTTATTCAGCACTAACGAGGGCAGGGTACAGAGGATCCGAAAGGAATCCACCTTCTGGCCTCTGCATGAGCTCTTCCCACAGTCACTCATTCTTCTCTGCACTGCCTACTCCCCTTTATGTTAGGACACAAAGATTTTGTTGTATCCTCCCTCCCCTCCACCTCTGAATGTCTGAAGTATGTTAGGGGGCCTCCAAAATATCAGTTTTGGAGGATAGAAAGGATGCTATCTCCTTTCCAGTTCCTCTTATCTTATATACACACACACACACATGCACGCACGCACACACACACACACCATTTGTACATACACTCTGACTATTGGTCCTTATGGCATCTTTAGTTTTCCTGTGAACATTACAATGGGTACCTACTGGAGCAGCCCAGAGTAGAAAAATCACCATCCATGAAGGTGGATGAGGGACACATGAGACACACGGGACACATGAGTACATATGAGGATAAGCAGAAGAACTCTAATATAACAGGACCCTGGAGGTCTTACCTTGCTTGCCTCAAGAAGCTCATCAAAGTCCACTGACAGATGTCTGTTCTGCAACCACAAGGCATGATTGATGAGCATGAAATGAGTGATGGTCCAACAACATGAAACAGTTAAACAGACAGGGCCCTCTCATTCTTACCGGTGTGGCTGCAGCAAAACGCTCTTCAAAATCCTCCAATGGCTGGCTATTCTGCAAGTGCAAGGGATGATGAATGAGGATGGAGTGAACGACACACAAATGACATGGATTTATGAGTTTAATGATGACGGTAGCTATGGTTTACACTCCCGTGGTCGCAGTAGGCAGGAGCTGATTCTGATGTATGGTGAAAACCCTGGGATAAGTTTCCAGCATAACCAGATGATAAAGCACAGGCCTGATTGGGAGATACAGCAACAGCATGTCTGTAAAGCCTAAAGTCCATCTTCCTGTAATTATGCACATCATTCAGCTAGGTGCGGCAGTGTCTCTAGGTAAGAGCAAGGTGTCTACAGTGGATAGTCTTCATTGAAAATGAAGATGTGTCATCATGTGCCATTAGCCAAACTCAACTGTTTTTATTGGTGATTCTTTCAGTTATTAAAAGCATACAAAATAATGGGTCCCACTATGACATTTTCATATTTGTATACATATACACACATACACACATGCACACTCATCATCTGCCAGTTGTGTCCATCTTTTGTGCCAGCTGTTCTTTTTACTCAGCAATATCTTTGCACCCCAGTAAGCTCAGTGCTCCCTACTTTCCTAAAGTCAGTTGAATGCTACCTCTGCCATCAGACTTCTTCCTCTTGGAGTTCTCAGCACCTCGGCTGCACCTGTTCTATTGAGAGTTACCTCATGTGTGCAATTCAATCCCAAATGCTCTGCAGCTCCCGAGGGTCTAATACATAGTGCTGTCCAACAGAAATGAACAGATCCGTGTCTTACCAAGTGGCTGGCAGATGGCCAAAATTAACTATTCTCTTAACTTTTAATTCTATGGAATATATTACATATTATTATACAACATGTATAATATCTACTATACACCCATATTTTAATGACCTTGTTTTGGTCTATAAATATAAGCTAATTATTCTTTGGATAATTTCCAAGAAGCTCAATGTTAATAGAATCTGTGTCTACTGGCATTCAAATTGAGTCACTAGGCATGTGCAGAGCAATGACACTGCTTCCTAATTTTGAATAGGGCTCGGTGTTGGCAATGGAGGAATGGGGAGACTGTTATCCAGTCTTAAAATATTGGTCATGCTGGGCGTTGGTGGTGCACGCCTTTAACCCCAGCACTCGGGAGGCAGAGGCAGGTAGATCTCTGCGAGTTTGAGACAAGCTTGGTCTACAAGAGCTAGTTCCAGGACAGCCTCCAAAGCCACAGAGAAACCCTGTCTCGAAAAACCAATAAACAAACAAACAAACAAACAAAAAAACTGATCATTTGCCAAAATCACCTTAACTCTACCCACAGAAATTGTAACTGCTACTTCCCTCATTCCCTATATTCCACAGGACACAGAGTGGGGCAGGAGAATCAACATGTCCAGGACCACTGCCAGTCAGAAGAACCATCCAGAAATCCTGCCACCTGTCTCCACCAGGGTCTATCTCACCCTGACTCAACTGTGACAATGATGAGATGAAAAGTCACAATGCCTAATGAATACAGAAATACTACTTTCCCTGCCAGCAGCACTGATAATTATTAGTATTGTTATTTAGCCACAGGTGTGGGGGTGGGGTAGGGAGAGTGCAATTGCCTAGGAGACCATGTAATCTATGATGTGGCCTAGAAGGTTAAGGTTATGTCGCTACATCCCTTATAAATTCACACACTCCTGGGGATTTATGGCAGGGCCCCTACCAACTAGCTCTGGGTCATAACTTTTAATAAAAACATTTTTTAGTGTCCAAAATCTCATTACATCTGTCCAATATAAAAAAGCAAATGGCTTCAGAACATGATGGATGAATTAAATAAATTTGAAAAACAGCCTGTGGTGGAGTCTCATAAAAGCCTCACCATGTCCCACATAATGAAAATGTGGGAGGACCTCTAGCATCGGCATGTGGCTGTCACCTTCCTGGTGACAGAAGAGGTGGCCTCTGGGGAGTTGCAGAGGTGAAGGCAGGATGGGTGATTTCTGTACATTCAGAAGAAGCTTGGTCTAGAAATCTAGATAAATAGGTCTCCTAGGAGTTGGTCAGGCCAGCTCTTGCCACATGACTCTGGAAGTCAAGAAGGCACACTTTTCTTAATTTTTAGGTAGTGGTGTAGAGCCATTGTCTTACTGAGATGTATGGACAGCCTTGTTTGGTATTGGGCACAAAGCAGATGTTCAATAAATCAGGGCCATTATTTAGTATCATCTCCTATCTCTTGGCCCATTTTAATAACATATCTACATGGGCTTTACAATGTGAGGAAACTATTGTTACATGGTGTTTGGGACTAGAATGTATAACCTTTAGTCTGTTCTTCAGTTCTTTTCCTCCTCCTGGCCTTGTTCCTAGGCAGTTTCACCAGACCATCTAATGCCAGGTGATATCTGATACCTTTGGTCCTCTGTTCTCTGACTTTGGCTTGGTCTGCTCCAGGCTCCTTTCTCCAGTCTGGTGAGACCTTAGGTGACAGTACACTCTAGCCAATGGAGATATATTTCCATGCAATGTCCTCTTTCCCAGTTGAGACTGATTTCTAGGGTCTGGAATCCATCCCCTTGCTTCCCACGCACCCAGCACCTGCTTTACTCACACAAAACACTGAGTTACAGCTTGGCTTAGCAATTATCCTCAATTCTTGACTTTTCTTTTGACATGTTTTTCCTATTTACTTTATATTTTGCTCTTAAAAACTCAACAGTGACAAATATACCAGGACATCAGCATTCCAAAAGAGATTTTAAGGAACTGTATTCCCACATTGTTTCAGGACAGTTCTATTCTGACCCTTCATAAAGGCCCCAAAATAAAGTCCCCATGGGGAGCTTCCTTTCCCTCAGTAGGGGCATAATGGTTCCACAACTGAGGGACAGGACAAGGAGGATCAGATTAATGGTGCTCTTGCTGTAAAAATGACTGTGACTGAAATAGGATGTGGGGAACAAACACCAAAAAACGATGAAATCATATTTATGGCTGACAAGGCAGAAACTTGACATGGTTTATAATATAATCTTGGGCTGCATAACACAATCCTGTGGGAAGGTGTTTACAAAACGTTGAAACCTGAGCCCCAGCCTCTGATCTCCACATCTACTGGAGGGGATGGTGTGGGGGGCTGGTTTTGTCAAGTTTCCACAGGTCCTCAGTGACTCTGATGTACTGCTGACTTTTCAAATTGCTGTTCTGGGGAATGAATTCTCTTTAGGAATAATCAGTGAGCATCCTACTGGGAGAACCAAAGGCATCTTGATTGATTAGGTAATGGATTAATTAATGCCTTCAGTAAACATTGCCAGTGTATTTCCCACCTGCCAGGACCTAGGCAGGTGCTGGAGACAGTGATGACTGACTAATACATGGTCTGTGTTCTCAGCAGGGCCGAAATGTGTAGTCCTTGTCATCTGAGGTGGACAGGAGTATGCATATGGAAGGACACAAGGCTTTTAGATCTAAACTAGGACCTAGACCAAGGCTGTAAAAGAATCAATTCGATTATCCATTTAGAGGGCCCAGGAGGAATGGATTAACTTAAGTGATTTGTAACTGCACAGGTGGGTAGTATTAAGAACACCTAGTGATCACAGGCACCCGGATGTATGCTACTTTCCTGAGTGCATGATTTAACAAGCAAGGCACATGCTAATTAAGACTAATTCTCTCTGGGATACTAGCAGCTTATGCTTTGCACCACCTTTAGCAGAGAGAGAGGGCCACTTTCCACTACTTAGGAGACAGTCAAGGAAAGCTCTGCTTGGCAACTGAACAACAGGGTCGGGGCAGCTGAGGCAGGGAGATAAGCTGCTATGTCGACATGGGATCCCAGCCCAGAGCAGCACTGTTTTGCAGTACTTTCTACAATGATGGAAAGTCCTGAATCTCTCCTGTCCCATCAAATGCTGTGTAGTGCAGATATGCCTAACGGGAGTGCACTGGGACACTTCCCTTGGATGAGTTTCAAATTAAGGAGTCACACATGGCTACTGACAACCGCAGGACCTAGCACAACTAGACAGAAAATGCATGAAAGAGGAAGAGATCAGCCACGCTTCCAGTGATGGCCGCTTTCTGAACACTGTCTACAGCCTTCCTTGTGCAGTTTCTTCTGTTCTTTTGCGGGATCTCCCACACTTGGGCTGACTGGACATTTTCTTTGGGAGTGTTCAGTTCCTTGCTATGGAATCAGCAAATTCGTTTGCAACAATAGCAACCACCTTCTGGATCTAAGATTTCTCACTGTCTGGGCTAAGCTAGAGCCAGGTACTTGTGGGTCTTTAAAAGGAAAGTTTCAAGTGGAAATTTCATGAAGCCTCATCAACAATCAAATAAAATACAATTCCACTTAATGCCCAATCGTGCCAGGCCTTACCAGACATGGGGCTTGACACTCTTGCTGCGGTCTAATGGAGGGACTAGAGCTATCTCGAGACCTGGCTTTGGAGTGATTGAAAACCTGCCTCTAATTTCCCCCTACTGGGACTCATTTTGCAGCCAAAAGCCCTTTATCGTGGCTATATAGGGAAAACAATATATTTATTTATCGAGAGAGAGAGAGAGAGAGAGAGAGAGAGAGAGAGAGAGAGAGAGAGAGAGAGAGAGAGAGAGAGAGAGAGAGAGAGAGTCGCACTGACCAGGAGTCAGAAGCTTGGCTGGCTTCCAGGAGAAAAAAGGGAAGCCCGTTTTCCTTTCACTTCCTTTTATCTCTACCTTGACCACGCCCTGTTGGGCGGATAGCTTTGTGGAGTTCACTCCTACAGCCCTTCTTCCTCCAGCTACTGTTTTAGGATAATTCCAGGAATGTCTGGAAGCTTGATGAGATGTGCTTGAATGCTGCAATGAAGATGGCACCCTTCCTAAAAAAGCACATGGTGGGCTAATTCTACAGTCCCTCAGACAGTGGAGGGACTTCCTTGAGGCTGTACTTGTTGTTGTTACTCTTTTGTGATTTTGAGAGAGGGTCTCACCATGCTCTAGTCTGGAACCATGTAGAACAAGCCTTGTAGAAGTCCTTCTGCCTCTGCCTT